TGTCTCCACAGCCCTCTCCACCTCCGCCTCCCTGGTGTCCCTGGCCTGGACGCTGGCCTCCTACCAGAAGGTGCTGCGGGACTCCCGAGACGACAAGCGGCCGCTGTCCTACAAGGGCGCCGTGGCCCAGGTGCTGTGGCACCTGTTCACCATTGCGGCCCGCAGCCTGGCCTTTGCACTCTTTGCCAGCGTCTACAAGCTCTACTTCGGCATCTTCATTGTGGCCCACTGGTGCATCATGACCTTCTGGGTTATCCAAGGCGAGACGGACTTCTGCATGTCCAAGTGGGAAGAGATCATCTACAACATGGTGGTGGGCATCATCTACATCTTCTGCTGGTTCAACGTCAAGGAGGGCCGCAGCCGCCGCCGCGTGGCCCTCTACCACTGCATCGTCCTGCTGGAGAACGCGGCGCTCACCGGCTTCTGGTACTCAAGCCGCAACTTCTCCACCGACTTCCACTCGCTCATCCTGGTCTGCGTGGTGGCCTCCAGTTTCGCGCTGGGCATATTCTTCATGTGCGTCTACTACTGCCTCCTGCACCCCAATGGGCCCATGCTGGGCCCCCAGGCACCTGGCTGCATCTGCCCTGAGGCCCCAGAGCCCTGCGGCCCACCAGCCGACGCTGTCACAAGTCCCCCGCGGTCTCTGCCGAGGACTACAGGCCCTGAGCGGGATGGGGCCTCGGTGGGGGGTGAGCGGGCAGGGACCCCCACACCACCTGTCTTCCAGGTGCGGCCGGGCGTGCCTCCCACACCAGTGGCCCGCACCTTGCGGACAGAGGGGCCTGTCATTCGGATTGACCTGCCTCGTAAGAAGTACCCCGCATGGGATGCTCATTTTATTGACCGCCGGCTCCGGAAGACCATTCTGGCGCTGGAGTACTCTTCACCCGTCACGCCCCGGTTGCAGTACCGGAGCGTGGGGACCTCCCAGGAGCTGCTGGAGTATGAGACCTCCCTGTAGGCCACAGTTCCCCACCCCCAAGAGGGGTGGGCTTGGCTGACCCCACATCAATCACAGTGTTGAGCCTGGAATTTCAGGGCCACCAGGCTGAGGGGAAGTGGATCTGTTGGTCCAAGGGTAGAGTGGCTCCACCACGGGTTCTTTCAGGGGAGGGGGCAGCCTTTGGAGGCCCCAGCCCTAGGCCCTGTTTTCAGCTCTGTGGCCTATTTTCTAACCCCTCCCCCCCGAACAGGGCCCAGGGAATTAACTGGTGCTACACTCCTCATGAGCTGCCCCATTTTCATGAAGGCCTCCACACCACTCTGGTGCTGGGGGCCCCACACCCTCTCCCCTGCCTGGAGTTGCCCACATTTCATACCTGGTGGACCTGTCAGAGAAGGGGCACTGTCTGGGGTCCATGACTGAGGCCTTGTGCTCCTGAGGGGATGCTGGGGGTGGGCTGTCTCTGTGGTGGGAGGAGATCTCTGAAGATGAAGGGGGCCTTGGAAGATGTGGGGTGAGGTGGGAGAGTCTGGTGGACAAGGTGGGTATAGTTCATGTGGGGTCCAAGGTCTGGAGCGTGGGCCAGAGAGGAATTAAAGGAGGGAGTTGGGGTGGGGTGGGGATTTGGGGATGGGGGGCAGACAGTGCTAGAGCAGGAGGGGAGGAAGAACCCTGAGACATCTGAGGGGTTCAAGCTGGCTGAAACATGAAGGAGTAGCAGATTTGGGGGAGGGGAACCCTCGATCCAGAGCATAGAGAATGTTTCCCAAATGAACTCCTCCAGAGACACCCTTTTTTGTGGGCTGTGTTATGGTTGAGGTTCCAGACACCTCAAGTGAAATGTTTCCAGGAGTCTTTCTTTGTTCTAGATGAGCATCTAGAACATTTCTTGTAGAAAAACATTTTGAATGCAACAGATAAAATGTCTAGGAAGATATTCTGGGCTCAATTATAGATGAGGTTCTAGCACATTTAGCAGAGGAACTGTTCTAGAGACATTCTTTTCTGGATTAAGTTCTAGAACACTTAGCTGATGAAATATCCTAGAGAGTCACTGATCTGGATTCTGTTGTGAGGGTGAGTGCACTGGAGCCCTGCTGCTGTGCTCTGGGGAATTATAGCTCCTGTGATGGTGGTTGTGGAGGGGCCTCTAGAACCCCATGTGAGTGGAATATTCTAGGAATAGGTACTCCAGTTCTAGATTTCTGGGGTTCATAGGAGTTCTGTGCTCCTGTCCACCTTGGTCCATAGACATCTTCCCAAGAGAAAATTCTCCTCAGGAACCCCTGGTACATTTCAACTGCTGACTGGTTTCCAGCTAGAAAAAATGGGCTCTGAGGACATGACCTAAATCTTGGCTCTCAGCCACCCTGCAGATGTGGCTCCCTTGGCTGGCAGCTGGAAAACTGTTTTGTTTTGCCCAACTCTCAGGACTTGTGGTCTATTCCCATGTCCCAAATATCCCATGGTGCCCATGAGATCACTAATCCAGGGCCCCTCCTCTCCATCTGGGACAGCCAGTTCAGGATAGGGTGTGGGGGTGTAGGAGTAGGCAGTCTGTGGGGTGAGGGGACAAAGCTAGGCAGAGCTTGGAACACCCCCCACCATGTCCCCACTCCCCCATGCAGACTAAGATGTGTTTACTGCAAGGACACAGCAGGTGATGTTAGGGCCAGATGCAGACCTGGGCTGGGGGTGAGGTGGACCATGAGAATCCTAGACTATGCAAATCAGAGGAGCACTTAACCCTCTCTGGTTCAGCCTCCCTGGGGTTATAGATGGAAAACTGAGACCTAGGCTGGCAGCTAGTCTCACAAGGTCCCAGACACCTGCTGTTCCATCAGATAGTGAAGGGTGATAGTGAGTTTGTTGAGGATGAAGGGAGAGGGCCACACTCAAGGTGTAGGGTGACCGCAAAGGCAGAGAGGACAGGACCACCTACATACACACACCCATATAAGCACACATCAAGCCTGTGACGCAAGTCACCTCACGCCCTGGCACACCAGCCAAGATGGTGTGTGCATCCCTCCCACCAACACACAAAGAATGCTTTTCCCTCTTTCTTCTACTTCCCTAATCCCTAAGAAGCCTTAGGAAGCAGGCCTCAAGGCAATATGTGGTAGGGGAAGCCTGAAGCTGACCCAGACCCCCGCTGGTGGGTTCACTCTTCTCCTTGATCTGCCTAAATCAGTCTTTGGAGGCTGAATTTCATGGTCAGTTACACACATGTGGAAGCCCTTTGTGGGATGGGAGCCTTGAGGGTATGGCCCAGACTCTCTTCACTGTTTCTCCAGGGCTGACCATGCCAGTTTCATCCCATCTTATTTTACTTAAACTCTGCTTGCAACTTCCCTAAAAAAGAAGTGTTATCAACCCATCTTACAGAGGAGGAAGCTGAGGCTCAGAGATGTTACACGGGTGTCACCCTTGGCAAGTTATTTTATGCCCCAGTGTCCTAGACCAGTTCATCTGGCTGCCCCATTCTCCAGCATCCTAAAAGGAAAAGTTAAAAACATCCTCCCTGAGAGCTGGGAATCCTTGGGGCTCCGTGGGGTACCCAGAGAACAGGGAATATGGCCGAGCTGAGGCGCTCAGGGAAGCCACGGCCACATTTTTGGACCTCACTCCATCCCCACCCTCCACCTTCTCAATCCCACAAAACCTTCCCTCTGCCTGCAGGACTTCTGAGCAGCAGAAGTGGCCCTCGGAGGGGGCTGGGGGCACCTCCCCCTGCTTCTCATCCTCAGGAAAAAGCCTAGCCCATAAGGACTCCCCCACCCCCAGGAACTCAGGACCCCACCCCTCCCAGGCCTGAGGTCCTTTCCACCAGCCTGTCCTCCACTTTATCTGATCCCTGCCAGCCCCTTGTTTCAGAGGAGTTGCAGTGGAGCAGGACACCATCCCATTCGAGCTTTGTTTTGGTTTTGTTTCCATGACAATCTACCTCAGCTAGTCTCTTTCCTACCAGAATTGGATCCCCTGCATCACTGACTCCTGCTCCCCATTTCCTGCCCCCTACCCCAGCCTAGCTGCTCGGTCCTTCCCCAGAAACCCTACAGGGTCCTTACAGTGAGAGCAGATTCCAGAACCATAGCCCAGTGGAGCCCTTGGGGTCCCCTAAGCCACCTGCCCCCCCACATCCCCTGTAAAGGAGAAATGGAATTCCAGAGAAGGCCAGGCACTTGCCCAAGATCACACAGGAAGTCAGTGGCAGAGTAAGGCTTTTCCTGAAGCTGAGACATGGTTAGGTCTGTCTTAATTTTTCCAGGAACAGAAGAAAACAGGGCACTCTGGGTACCCAATATTGCCAGGTCCTACCCTGCCCTCAGTATCTTCATCCCCAAGAGACCAGTGTCCCCATTCCCAGGACAGACTTCTGTCTCCTAGTTTTCTTGAACTGATCCCTCAGGCTACTACTGACTGTATTCCCTGAACCTCTGCAGGCACCACACACTCTTCCTCAGACCTCCATGCACCGATGTACCATGTGCCTTTTAAATGCCATCCTGGTTAAGCAGCACAGACCTCCACCCCTCCCCAACAAGGGACTCTCAATAAGAAAGTTGGTCCCCTCCTCTCATCTGCCTCATCCCCAAAATCTGCCTTTCCCCTAGCCAGCTCACTACTAAACTTGTGCCCCACAGAGGCGTGTCACCCATTAGAATTGGAGAAAACGGAGGGCGGGGAAGATGGCCTGGGGAATGTCCAGGTCTCAGGGTGAAGGTCAAGGGGCCTGAGAGTATCCAGGGAAGGTCTTGCCTGGCGGCCCCAGTTGCCTCCTGGAAGGGCCTGTGCCCTTTGGGACCTCCCAGATATAGCTGGAGGTAGGACCTGCAGGGAGAGGAGCTATCAATTTCTGTACTAAGGGCCAAAGTTCCACAGGTTCTTCCCTTGGAGCTCACCTGGGCTTGGAGTTGACAGGAACCTCAGGCAGTGGGGAGAAGGTGTTCTGGGGTAGGGAGCATGGGCTGCAGTGAAAAGCCTTCAGGTTGAAAATGAGAATGCGGAGGTGCTAGATGATAGGGAGTGATGTGGACTCAGGTGAACAGGAGGCATTCCTTGCCTATAGGCACTAAAATTCAAAATTTTAAAGATCCTGTGCTGGCCAAACTAAACACTCATATTTGGGTTATGGGCCACCAGTTTGAAACCTCTGGTTCAAAATGAGAACATCCTGGGGAGCCCTACAGCATCTGGACATCCCTCTGGGGAAGTTGAGGACAGAGGCCCTGGCTCCCTCTGAGTCTTTCCTAGTCTAACCCTAAGCTCCCACCACCTGCCGCCTGAGAGTTGGCCCCACTGCCCTCTCAGTTGAAAAGAGGAAGGAGGTCAGGGCATCCCAGGGTCCCTGGTTTGGGAACGACCATCTGATAAAGGCTAGAGACCCCTCCAGAGGCTAGTTTAGGGGCTGGATCTTCTCTAGTTTGGGGGCCCCTGGTTAGGAGGAACCTGCATTGGGTGGGGTGAGAGTCCAAGTTCAGGATGAGAGCTAAAAGCCAGAACCTGCCCCCACCCTGTCTGGCCCCTGCCGCCTTGGGCACCTGCCTCCCTCCCAGATACAGCTGGAGATACGACCTGCAGGAGAGGAGCTATCAATTTCTGTACTAATGTGTTTTGTGATTTCTCAGCGGAAGGGACTGAGTGCCAAGCCACACAGGCAGCAGTGGGGATGGGGCCTGAGTACCCCTTTCCTAGCCAGAGGGGCTTGAGACCCTGGGCCTCGAGGGGAAGGAACTGTACATGCCGTTCTGTTTGGGGGGGAGCTAGGACATTCCTGGGTTCTCGGTTGCTTCAGTGGAGGCAAGGGGGGGGGAAGCAAGGAACTGGGGAAGGGGGAGAGGAAGGCTCCCCTGGGATGGCCTGGTTCCTGGAAGCAGAAAACTCCCCAGAGAAAGAGGGGCTGTCCTCGTGCCTGGCCACCTGCACCCTTCCCTTCTTACTGCAAGGAGGGGGCTGCCCTCTCCCAGCAATCCTGGCCTTTATTCTATGCACAATCATTGTAAGGGCACCCCAGGCCAGGCTGAAGGGGTGAGGGCCCTGGGGCACCTGCAATAATCCCAGAGTGGAGGGTAGCCTGAGTCAAAAGGGGGTGAGAAAGGCACCAGATGGGACAAGGCTGTTCCTCTATCTCCCTCTCACCAAATTCCAGAATCCAAACCAGGCCTGTCTCTGTTGGGCTAAACCACCAAACCCAGAGGGCCTCGTAAACAAGATCTTCCAACCCTTTGGTTTCCCCGGACCAGTCAGAAGTAGCTGGAAAGGACCTGAACAATTCCCAGAGCCTCATTATTTTCACCCCTGAGCAGCTTAGTTTGGGAGATTCTTGTCCTAAACAAGCCTCAATTCTTGAAGAATAATTAATTTTCTCATATTCAGTTAACTCAAGCTGAGCTTCTGATTGCAGATAAATGCTGCCAAGACCTCAAGTTGGCTTCTAGGGCTTGAGGGCTGGGGAATATCTGTGTTCTATCGCAGTGCTTACACAACTCTCAAGAGCACTGGTGGGCCTCGGTTCCTGCCTCCAGACCCTCACAGCTTGGGACCTCAAGGGGAGAATCAGCATTTTAATCACCCAGCATCCTGATTTACTGAAAGGCTAGGCCCAGAGAGGCAGCCAGCCCAAGATCACACAGTGAGTTGGTGGCAGGCTGGGTTTTTCAGGGTGCCACTGGAGCACCCCCAGCACTGACTGCTCCTCTCCACCCCAACCCCCCACTCCAGGAACCTCTAGCCATGCCTGAGGGGCCGTTTTCCCTCCCTCAGCACAATTCCGGGAGACTCTCCCCTCCCTGATGGGTCTCCACCCCTGCCCATTTGTTTTCCGGTCCTGGCCGACCTCCTGGTAGTCACTACATCTGTGCCATCCTCAGTCCTCCACCCCACTCACCCCTCTGCGCGTCCCCCGGGGGGGGAGGGGCCCCAACTGGGGCTTCTGTATTGAGACTCTTTTGTACACCACAAACTTTTTGTAATATTTTTAATTTTGCTGCGACATGAGATATTAAAAGTCATTTCAGTAGGTGTTGCCTGTGTCCTATTGTTTTAGCTGTTCTGGGCCAGAGGAAGGAGATGGGGAGGTGGGAGCCGGGAGAAAGGCTGCCCGCTGCCACAGGACGTTTGGCTGGAGGGGTCAGGCTGCTACACAAAGCGCCCTGTTGACTGGACAGAGCCTCAATCAATCAACCAGGATGGTGTCGTCGTCCGTCCCCCCCCATCTCCAAACTCTTCATTTTACAGATAAGGGAAAAAAGGAGATGGGGGCCAACTTGCCAGAGATCAAAGAATGAGTCCATGACGAAATCAGGACCCAGACTCAAGTTTCTAACGACAAAACAAACAAATATTTACTGAGTACCTACTATATGCCAGGCACTCTTTCAGGCACACTAAAGAGAAAAATATAAAGCAGGCATAACCCCTGCCGATCTCCCTCTCTCTCATCAATGGAAAGGACATATCCTTGGGTGAGGATTTTAAAAATAAAAAGAGGGCTTGCACTCCCCCCTGGCTCTGTTTACCCTTCTACTGGCGGGACTGCAGCTCTGTGCAGAGCCACCTTGAAGCTGAGAGCAAAACCCTAGTATAGTAGAGCAGCTCGGAAGCCCCTAGATCCAGCATAGGCAGGAACTCCTGTCCTGGCTACTTTTGTGATAGAAGAGAGAAGCTTCTATCATGTCTAAGCCACTGTTATTTAGATCTTTGTTACAGCTTAAATGTATTCTGGCTACTATATCTGACCTGAGATTCCTAAGAGAAGTATTTTTAAGAATCTCTGGGAAACATTTTCCCCTCACAATAAAAACACACAAGAAGGGGAAACCCTTGCAGGATAATGATGGATGTGTCACTCCTAAAGCCTCACCAGCCATCCTGCCAGCTGTATGAGTTTCCTAGGCTGCCAAAACAAACTACCGCACAATGGGTGACTTAAACAACAGAAACTCATTTTCTCATAATTCTGGAAGCTAGAAGTCCAAGATCAAGGTGTCAGCAGGATTGGTTTCTTCTGAGGCTCCCCTTGGCTTGCAGAAGGCTGCCTTTTCGTGGCATTCTCACGTGGTCTTTCCTCTGTGTGTGCACATCCCTGGTGTCTCTCTCTGTGTACAAATTTCGTCTCCTTACAGAAACACCAGACAGATTAGATCAGAGCCCACTCTACAGCCTCATTTTAACTTATCTCCCAAAGCAGCCACATTCTGAGGTACTGGGTGTTAGCGCTTCAACGGATAAATTTTGGGAGACATGATTCAGCCCGTAACACCAGCAAAGCAGAAATATAAGGAACTGGCTGCCTTTTTTGAGCTGCCCAATTAACCAGCCCTGAAATCACCTACCATCGAACTTCCTGTCTTAAGAGGTTGTCCTTCTTGCCTGAGCCACCTTTGATAGAGTAGTCTGTTCTTTGCAGCCAAAAGCATCACAGCTCAGGCACTCTGTGTTTGCTCAAGCTGTTCCCCCTGCCTAGAGTGACCTGCCTTCCACATGCCCTTCAAGGCTGGGCTTGAAAGCCACTGGCATGGTGAGCAGCTCCTGACTCTGCCTTCCCCAAACTAGTTGCTTGCCTTTCGTCAGAGTTCTTTACCTTGGCCTTTCTATCCAGGCCAGGGACAGCATACGCATTGCACACCAGCTGCCACATTCCCCCCTCCTGTCCCAGGCAAGCATTGATAATCAATCCCTTTTTCATGCTGGGAGTAGATCTGGTGTTTATAATCCTCCGCACAGAGCTCCAGGCAGCCCCTGCCAATCAACTGGAGGTGGCTCAAAAGGGATGAATCCTATTTGCCACAACTGCTAAGTCGTTGAGAGCAAGGACTTTGTTTTATTCATCTCTTTTATGATTCACAAGCTAATTTTAATATTAAATGTTACCATTGTATGCTTGTGTTTCCCTTTAATCCCTGCAGCAGTCTTCTGAGCAAGCACCAGCATCCTCCTGCTTTTGACACATGAGGACTGTAGGCTCCAAGAGATGAACAAACTACCCGTTCAAGGTCATACACATTTGAGCCTAGGCCCACCTGTCTCCACCTACTTCCACTGACATTTTCTAAGCACTTGATCTGTTTATGGCCCTGTGCGTGGTCGGGGGCACTGCAGGGAATACATAGATAGCTGCTGTTTCTAGTGGCATTCAGAACACTTCTTGTCCTATCTGCCATTCCCAGTAGTTCAGTGATGTTTGGAGTTAGTACAGAAATAATAGATGTCCCCATTTTACAGAGAGGTGAAAATGAGGCTCAGAGAGAGTACAAGGTTTGCAAAAGCCAGCTATGGAGGTGCCACCTTTCATTCCCTGCTGCCACTCTGAGGGTGGGAATTCAGGACTTGCTCAAGGGGTTAAGTGGGAGTTTTGATGTCAGGAGCAGTCAGGGATTGGGTCGCACATCCTGGCTCTTCCTATTGGCTGGCAGGCTAATGGGATCTTCCTGCTGCTGGGAGGTCACTGGCAGGATGTGGAGGAGCCGGAAGGTGCGGCTGTGCGAGCTTGCACTGAGCGTCCAGGGCAATTTCCCCTCCCCGGAAAGGGGAGGGAGGTAAGAGGGAAGGCTGGTAGCTGGCAGTCTCCAGTGGCCCTCACACCCAGGGGCAGCGGGAGCTCTGGTCCTCGCTCCAACGGTCACTGACCTGACACGCCCATGCTTTCAGAAAATCTTTCAAAACAATCCTATGTATAGTTTGGCCCCTGCATTTAACAGTTTCCAACCACTTCCTTATCCAAGGCCTGATATCTTTCTTGCCACATCTCTGACTGCATGGCGGGGCTTTGGGACTGTTGCTCCCATTGGAAAGAGGAGAAAGCTGAGGCCCAGAGAGGTTATAATAAGCAATCTGCCCTGGATCATACAGCAAATCAGTTCCAGAGCTTGGGTCTCCAGAACCCAAGTGTCATGGCCAGGGGAGGATGGGTCAATCCCCTCTCCAGCTGTCCTGGGTGCGGCATGCAGAGTACATAGGCTCTAGAGGTAAGGAACTAGGCTTCAGATCCAGGCCCGGCAGAAATCCCAGGCCCTCTTCTTACTCTCTGTGACCTCCTCGGGTCAGCCTCTGCAGTGGAGCTTTTTAAAAAAATCTGCATAATGGGTATAATAATGTATAATAATGTAACCCAATGTTGTGAGGAGTGAGTGAGATGAATACGTGGTGCTCAGCACAGGACCACAAAGGGAGCCTTTTACAGCCCAGGGCACACAGATACATAGATAAGTAAATAGCTAATATTTATCGACCACTTCATGTGCCAGGAGCTCTTCTAAATGCATTTAATCCTTACAGTGTCACTCTGTGGTCAGACTGGTATATGCCCATTTTATAGATGAGGAAATTGAGTAACAGAAGGTTAAAGGACTTACCCAAGGTCACAACCCTAGTAAGTGGCAAAGGCAGATTCAAACTCAGGCAGCCTGTCTCTGAAGCCAAGGCAATATTGCCTTCCTTCATAGTAATGATTAATTTTAAAATCATAACTTGCTTGGCCGCAGTGTTCTAGTTTATGAAACACGTTCACACCAACTCTTTCATTTAATTCTCACCACAGCAGCCCAGAGAGGGAGGCAACAATAACTCCCAATTTATAGTGGGGAGGGGGAAACTGAGGCTGTGAAAGGGGGACTGACTTACCTTGTCAAGGTCACACAGCAAGGTCAGTGGTAGAAGTAGGGGTGGAATTTGGGATTTTCTGACTCCAAATTTAGGGGACCCTTCCCCAGCCTCACTCAACTCCCAAGCCCCCCGAGCGGCAAGCCTCTGGCTGGAGGCCTTGAAGCTGTCTCCCCAGGTCAGTTGCTCTGGCCGGGCTTCCACTGTTCAGCTGAAGGGTCCCCAGGCTACGTCCCGCCCGTCCACCTCTGCTCACTATCACACAGGAGGGGCAGGAACTCCAGGGCTGGTGGAGTTTCCGACCAGGCCGGAAAAAGAACAAAGGAACTTCGAGGGGAGAGGGGGCGGCTGGGAGGGTGGCAGGAGTGGAAGGGACACTTCGCCATGGAGTACGAAGTCAAGAAGGGGAGAAAGGTAGGCGGGCGGCTGGGAGCGACACAGGGCAGAGAGAGGTCGGGGACTGGGAAGCCTGGGATGGCAGCGATGGGCAGTGAGGAGCGTAAGTAGGGACTGTCTTCTCATTTAGAAGGATTTCCTCCCCACTGGGCAGTCAGACATTTGGGTAACCAACTCCCTAGCCTGTCCTCCCTGTCCCCAGTGGCCTCTGCCAGCCACGGGGTATACAGACAGACAGGCACCTTCCAGGGAAACCAGCCAGACAGATTCTTTTGGGAGATACCCCCAACCTCCTTCCCTGGTATTCCTGGGGGAATCCCTCCTGTAGCTTCTCAGACTGAGGGCCCGACACCATAGGCCCATTCCCCTGCCTCCTACCTCCCAGGCATAAAGACCTCTGCCAGAGCAATTCTGGGCTGTATGGCTCCCAGTCCAGGCTGGAGACGCCTACCTGCTCCCCTCCTGGGTTCCAACCTAGCCTGCCCCCCCATCTCCACGCAGGGCCCGCTCCTAAGGCTGATGTTCCCAAAGGCTGGGCGCCGAGCAGCCTTTCGGAGCAGCGTGAGCCGCCGGCCCCTGCACTCGATGCCCCTTTATCCCCCTGACTACCTCATCGACCCCCAGATTCTGCTGTGTGACTACCTGGAGAAAGAAGTCAAGGTGCGTGGGGAATGAGGGGGAAGGGTGGGCCCAATCTTGGAGTGAGGGGGGTAGGGGAGGAAAAAGGTTTCCTCGACCCTCTTAGTGTCCCTGGCTGGGTCTGAATATTAAACTGACAAATACAGATTCACAGGAGAAAAGCATACACATTTTATTAAAGTTTTTCATGTTTAAGGGAGCCTTTACAAGAGAATGAAGACTCCAAAAAATGAAAAGAGCAGGAAGCTTTTATACCTTTAAATATATATATATATGTTTTTATTAATTTTTTAGAGAGAGAGGGAGGGAGAGATAGAAACATCGATCAGCTGCCTCCTGCACGCCCCCCCACCGGGAACAAGCCCACACCCGGGCATGTGCCCTGCCCGGGAAATCGGACCAGCCACCTCTTGGTGCACGGGGCGATGCTCAATCCACTGAGCCACACTGGCTGGTGTGCTTTTATACCTTTTTGACAAAGAAACAATAAATGTGTGAAGAACTGACAAGGCAGAGGGCTGTGGGCTGGGGCAGGAAGGGGTGAAGTAACAGGGTCTGTTTATACAGCCTTCTCAGGCCTAAATCCTGTCTCTGGCGATAAGGATGTCTCCCTTCCTCCTGGCACAGAGAGGGCACTTTGCACACAGATTTATCTCCTGCTTTCAGGGAAGGTGAGTGGGGAGGTCAGAGTGTTTTCTCAAACTCCTTCGGCTTGAGATATTCTTAATAAGGTGCCGCCTTTGGTAGTGGCATGTTCTGGACCCCATCGAGAGAGACCTTACTTACCTCTCCCCCACACCTACCCTTGACCAGCCCAGTCTCACACACAGGAGACTCAGGGGAAAGAGGTCTGGGCAGCCTTGCCCCTGCCTTATGCTGTGGACCCTCAGCAAGTGGCCTCCACGTGCTCAGTCTCAGTGTTCCCATCTCAACATGGGGTTCAGAACCTACCTGCAGGGTAGAGCCGATGGGAAAGAGTTCTGTGTACTAAAAAGCCACACCTTCCTGTGAGATTTCACTGCAGTGACTTTGTTGCTACTCAGTGTCCAGGTTCAAGAAACCCAGTTCAGCAAACCACAGGGGACTCAGACCACTCAAGGGCTTGACTTCTATTTCATGAGCATCATGAAGGAGCAGTAAAGAATCCTCATTACCCAAGGAAGACTGATACAGAGCTAAGAGTTCAGATTTAGCAAAAATAAATTTGAATTTCAGATAAACAGTGAATACTTTTTTAGTACTAATATATATCCTAAATACTGCATGGGACTAAAAGTACTAAAAATATATATATATATTTTTAAATTGATGTTTATGTGAAATTCAAATTTAACTGGAATCTTGTATTTTATATGGCAATCCCATATGGAGGGAAACACTAACAAATAAATCCACTTAAAATTGGGAGACTGAAATTTCATACAGAATAAAAAGGTTTGATTAGTTAAATCCACCTAAAAATAATGAAAAAAGTTCATTCTGATATTGATGGAATAACATGTAAGTTACGTGACGGCACTAAGTTATAACTAAGAACAAATGAATAATCAATGCATTGATTTGGGGCATTATTTTTCTCACAAAGTTATGTACTAGTTTGATGCAACATTCATTCCTTTCCATTTGACTTCTGCAACAAGATCACAAAGAGGGTGAGTGACTTGCATAGTCATTTGATCCTAGTGTTTGAGGTGGACAGAGCCACTCAGGCCAAGTGGGAATTCACAGGTGATGAGTTCTTTCAAGCTATTAAAGCGACTTTTGATTCCATCATAGCTAAGTAACTGTGTTCAGGCAATATAAGCTAGCAGTGAGAGTGCAGGCTGTGGTGTGTGGAGTCCAGTTTTCCCCTTTCTAGTGATATAAATTGGGCATGTTATTTACCTTTGCTGTGCCTTAGTTTTCTCATGCTTAAAGTAAGGATGAGCCCGGGCTGGTATGGCTCAGTTGGTTGAGCACCATTCCGTGCACTAAAAGGTCGCCAGTTCAAGTCCAGGTCAGGGTACATGCCCAGGACATTGATGTTTCTCTCTCCCTCTCCCTCTCCCTTTTTCTCTCTCTAAACAAACAAATAACAAAAAATACCAATAAAAACAGATTTAAATAAAGTGAGGATGAAGGAGTGAATGTGCACAAAGCTCTCAGGACTGTGTCTGGTTTCTATGACTGGCTCAATAACAGTTACTATCAGGTTCTTATGATTAATTTTCAGATATTTCTATCTCAGTCTATCTGCACTGTGTCAGTGAGGAGGTTAGGGTCCTTCAAGGCTTTAGAGTGACCTCTTTCTGCCCTTTTCCCACCACTCTCCCCACCCCATCCCTTTTTGCTCTCCAGTTCCTGGGCCACCTCACCTGGGTAACCTCCTCACTGAACCCCTCCAGCCGGGATGAGCTCCTGCAGCTGCTGGACACCGCCAGGGTGAGGCTCTGGAGAGGGGGAAAGACAGGGTGTGTCCCCTCTTCCTTTCCCACCCGAGACCCCCGGGGACTCAGGAGATCCGACCCACCCCACAGCAGCTGAAGGAGCTGCCGCTGAAAACTACGGCGGAGCAGGACAGCATCCTGAGCCTGTCGGCGCGCTGCCTGCTGCTCACCTGGCGGGACAATGAGGAGCTCATCTTGCGCATCCCCACCCACGAGATCGCCGCCGCCTCCTACCTGCAGGACGACGCACTGCACTTGCTGGTGCTTAAGACAGGTACAGCGGGTGGAGCCCGCGCCTGCTGGTGCTTAAGGCGGGGCCGGGGGGCGAAGGGGAGGGAAAAGTCTCAAATTCTTGTTCTGGGAATGTGCATGACCTAGGGCAGGAGCGAGGCCTGAGGCTGGGTGACCGGGTGATGGAAAAGGCCTGGCCACCCTATCCTGAGACCGGGGTCGGGCCATCGCCATATGCAGTAAGACTGAGCTCAGGGTTGAGGTCGACGAGTGAGCGGCCTGCCCCACCATCCTGAGGTCCAGTGGCGGCGCCAGGGGAGGACAGACGAGCTAGAATCCTGGGGCCCCCGGAGGGCTTGAAGTTAAAGGGCTTGGCGAACGGAGGCGTAGCCGCGGGGCTCCGAGGATAGGGTGGGACTTACGCCGAGGGGCGGGGTCTGGGGCGGGACAATACGTAGGGGGCGGAGCTCGAAGCTAAGGTAGCCAGTGGGAGACGTCAGACCTCGCTGAGTCAGGGGCGGGGCCTGAGGCCAGGGGCGGGGCCA